TAAATAAAAATTTCTTGTGTTCATATGTGCACAAATTTTTTTTTGCAGATCATAAGATCGACGAATTTCCAACACTGTTATTATCTAATCCATTACTTGAATAATAAATTATTGATTGTGAATGTGCAAGAATTGCTTTTTTGAAATTATCTGATAAAGAATGATGATAATTAGTGTTTAAATGAATGGTTTAATTCCTTTATTTGACTTTGTACTTTAATTAGTTGAGCCAAACTATAATCAGATTTATTGTCATATCTAAGGCTGGATGTTTGCAATGATTGAATACATTTGCAAATATTTGCTAATTTATCAATAACTTTATTATTAATAGGTTCATAAAAAACTAACTCATTAAGATTCTGAAACTATTACCAAATCTATGACAATTATTTACCAGATAAGGTGCCATATTTGCAGTACTAAATTCTCTAATAACTGCTGAATGATCTAAAATAAAATCTGCTAATCTATTTTGCAAAATATCTAGTTTGAAAGGGTTTGTCAGCAATTGAAAATCGTAATAATGACTGGAATAAAGTCTAGTACAAAATCTAGCATAATTATATAATGGTGATTTATCCAATAACTCAAAAGTCAATTTAATGTTATTTCTTGTTAAGAAATCTTTATCTTCTTCTAATAAACAGTTGATTATTATTTTGGTGTTGTTTTTAGAATAAAATGGTATTAATATTGTGCCACTGTTTATTGACAAGAATGCAAGAATATAATGTTTTATATCTATAATCATTGTATTTAAATATTTCAGTTAAAAGCTCAAGTGGTTAACAGTCTTTTTTATAAAAAAAAAAAGTTTTATTTGTTGCACTATAAAATGATTTATTTTTTTCCAATCAATTAAAATCAATTTATCTGATGATATTTAGAAAATGCATATCCTTATAATGCATCACTCCATCACTCCCCATAGAAAAATGCTATTCACTATAATCATAAACATTACACATTCAAGTCAATGTTTTGCGAGCCTTCAGACTATATACAGTATATATCAGAAATGTGATAAGTAATTTTTAATTAATCAATCGTTTAATCTGTTGCTGATCGTAATCAACTGATAGAAAAACCTATTGACCTTTATAAATCCGATCTCATTTCATCAATTAATTTTCTTTAGTTGTTCATTTATTTTCATTATTATTATTATTATTATTATTAGAAAATTATTATTACATAATAATAATGATTGTGATCTTTATTATGATTTTTATAAAACTTGATATTACACGAAAGTATATTACATTGAAATAAATATAGCCATCATTATTATTTTAATTTATTTTTGTTATTGGAGAAATTATATTACATATATAAAAAATTTTATTTTTTAATTTCTTGCAGTTTTTCAAAGTCTTGTTTTACAAGATCTGCTTCTTTATGTGCATGTTCTTCGATTTCTTTATCTGAAGCCCGTTCTTGACGTGCTTCTTCTTCAGCTTTATGTGCAACTTCGACTGGTGTGTGAATTTCGGCTACTGATGATGAATTATTTGTTATATCTGTGATTATAATATTGTCAGCCTAAAAAAAAATTTAAGAATTAGAAAAAATTTATTGAATTATTAATAATAAGAAAACAATAATTTACATACATACTTTATTATTATTATTATCCATTATTTCTTTGTCTTGTAAATTTATTATAAATTTATTTTGTTTTATTATTATATTTTTATATTTTTGTGAGAAAAAGAAAGTTGAAAATTTGATCCTTTTATATTTATCGCAACCTGTAATACGTCATGTGTTACATATATAAATAAAAAATCGTACGTTATAAAAGACTTACTATAATTGTATATAATTATATAAAACTGCTGATTTTCCTTTTTTAATAAATTAAACTCGATAAAAAATCATGCGTTATTTTTACTGTTATTATGTGATATTTTTTATAAATTTTGATTAGGTTTTGTTCAATTTATTCGTTACTCTGACAAAATCAATCATTTCAACATGCGTTATTCATCTCGTGTAAGATCGCATGTTTTCACTAAGAGCATGGAAACTTGACAATTATATTATGCATGATTTAAAAAATAGAATTCCCAAATATCTCCAGGTGTGCTAAACGAATCGACAACATAAACTCTTTCGTGTAGTTTAGTCTTTCAATAATTGATTCTGGAGATATAATCTTATAATCTTCAAATGATTTTAGCTTAATTATTTGGATGTAGAAATTACACCACTTTACCAAAGCAACATCATGATTTTGAATAAAATCTCATACTCTTTAAAATATAAATAATTAACTACAAACTATAAAAAAGATGCAAAGAATCATTTTAGAGTTGATAAAGTAAACACCATTTAGTCGAGTTCAAGTACAAGATAAGCATTTACCTTTTATTGTTTCCGTATCCTTCCTCCTTTCTCAAATCCAGTTTTTGAATTTCCAATACAAAGGTCGAATTGAAGATCATCGCATCCTAAAGCGGTATTTACATAACTTCAATTGTCCCTTTTTAATTTATAAAGGATACATGGATCTCCTAATAATAAAATTCTTGTTACATGGCCCAAAATAAAGCTTCATAAACACCTATCGCATATTTTCTGGTTGACTTCGAATATAAAGCAATAAAAATCACAGTGGCCACAAAAAAAAATATGAACCAACAAATGAAAGACATCAATCAATATTAGGCTTATGTCATTCGCTTTGTGATCAAATTCAACAACGAAATTATTCTTGTTTGTTCCCAACAGTGGGTTATATTCAATGCATGTTTTGAAAAAGATCAAGCCATTCAATTAGTATTCCAGCACCGTATTGTGTTGACGAATTGAGATCCATATCTTATCTGTCATTAATGAATTAAATTTAGTTTGAACTTTATTATTAGTCTCAATAATGGCAGTAATTATAATAACAGGTAAAAGGTATTAACATAATTCTTAACTTCATTCAAAAAAATAATGCAAATACCTTGGATTTTTCTTTCGTAAAAAATTTCACGTTTAAAAATGAACATCACTTGCGTACTTTTTTAAAATTGAATTAAAATACTAGGGTTTTTACAGTGTTGAGTTAATTCAAGCAAGATGCTTGAGTACTTATATATTACATTACTAAATCTATTACAACTAATCTCACAATCTAAATCAAAAAACTGATAAAGTAATTGATGCAGTGAGGCCTAAAAAGTAACGTAAACCAAATAAGCCGATTGGCGAAAAAAATATTAAACAATTATTTGATAAAAAAGATTAAAGTTAAATCTAAATTTTTCATTTAGTAAAATGGCTCGTGAATTATTTGAAGGAAATTAATGGAAGCAATCCAAAAATTTGTTAATAAGAAAAAGAATAAAGAAACGGAGGAGGATGATATAGAAGACAAAGAGATACTAACAACAATGGTATTATTATTAATAATAATAACAGTACAGAATAATTTCTATTGGATTGACCAAAGAATGGGTAATACTTTATACCTAAGCATTTTATTGCTTGGTGGTTTTTTATCTTTTATTTTTTTAATATTTAATATTTATATATATAAGTTTTTCTATATCTTATATAGAATCAAAATAAATAAAACATGACTTATGATGAATATGTGACACAATTTATAAATTTATAAATAAATTGATTCCCAAGTAGTAATAAAATAATACTAAGATCACGTAGAATGAAACCTTCAAGGAACAAATTTTGAAAAGGCTGCGCGATGCTGGTCTAATCCTTCTTTTTGTATATAACCAGGGTTCCATTTCCTTGTCGTTCAAGTGATACCAAAAGCATCTAATAGTTATATAAGAATACGGCAGAAAGTTTTTTATTTAATGCAGTAATAGAAATGACTGCACAACTTAGTTATTAATTCACGAAAAGTTATTTTATGTCTTGGACTAGCAATTGTCACAGGATAGGAAAAAATTAATAGTCTTTTTAACAACATGATTATTCAATAAAATGCTTACATTGAACATTTGTGGAAGTGGTTTTATTAAAAATATCAATCGCAGTGTGATGGAAATTGGGAATTATAACACATTTCTTCTAACAATAGATTATAAGATTCATCTACTGATCCCATGTATTTAAGGAATGTCATATTGGTTCTAATAGTTGTGCAAGTTCTGTTACTCCTTGTTCTTATCTAATTGAATACTTTCTAACCCTCCAAATCCAAGTTCAATAATCTCCAATGAATTCTCTTTTATAATAACAAGACGACAATAGTAGTAATTGCTAATCACCGTATTATTCACAATTTTCCATATTTTTACATCATGGTTAACTTTTCAATTGTTTCTCGGAAATATGTTGTAATACATTGTCCTGCTAAATGACCATATTTCTACTCCATCATCATCCGTACGATATTTTTCATGTTCGAATATATATAACTTCCAGAAATTTAATATTGTCCTTTCATAGTAATGAAATTTTTTCCAATTGATCTTTCGATAAGGGTAAGAAACACTGGATAAAGCTATACATTTCACTTATATTCTTAAATCAACCTAAAGCTCCGAGCGGGTTAAGTATCGGCCCGAAAGTTTTAAAGGCAACCCGAGACCGACCCGAAAATTTCGGGTTGGTTTCGAGTTAATAAAAAATTTTGCACTTTAGATAGATTTAAATAAATTTCATTCACCTAAACTTTATTAATTAAGTATAAAAGCAAAACAGTTATATTGGTTTAAAAACTGTAATTGATGTTGTGCGTGACGAAAACACAATTCGTGATGCAAAGAGATGCAAGACGCAATCCGTGACGCAAGACGTAATTCATGATGCAAGACATAATTCAAGACACAGGACTAGTAGGCCTAATTTCGCCCATGAAAATTTTCTGGCAAAATTGACGAAACCTAAACTGCAGACAAAAACCAAACAGACATACTAATGTTCACTTATCTGATTTTGTTACATTTGCATTTGTTAGAAGAATTAAAATAAATTTATTTATTTAATTTGAAGGACAAATTGTAATTTATTTGATTTACATTGTCAAGAAAAATGGCACCACATTGCTTACCAGCTTTATTTAAGACTGAATAAATTTTTACTAATTCTCCTTAATGGTTTTTATCACTTTTGAAGTAAATCCATGTAACTATGCTTTTGTCTTTGTTTTTTTGATTTTGGTGGTTGTTCATTTGAAGACAAACTAGCCATGTCATTCAGTAAAAAATGAAAAATGTTAAACATAATAATGATTGATACCAGCATCTGAAAAGTTATGTAATTGTCATATATTTTTTTCTTTTAATAATAATAATAATAATAAAGGACCCGGAAATTTATTTTACTCGAAATATGATTGGTCAAATCTGAGGATCTTCACCAAATGGTAATTACTCACGTTTCAGGGTGATTTTGTGAGTGACATTTTTTTTTTTGGTATGATAGTCAAGTGTTAAATTTATCTATACCTTAGCCGGGACGTCTAATATAAGTTTCCCGAGGTCCTTCTAATTAATTAATAAAACTAAAAATAAGAATGGCTTGTACTAATTGCGGCGGAAATGGTGTAGAGTATGATACAGCAGCTGGTCATGCATTTTGTACAACTTGTGGTTTTGTATGTATTATACAATTCTGAATTTTTCATATTTTAAACATAAAACTTTAAATTGTAATCATGAAATATTGTGTTTTTTTTTAGGTGGCAGAAGAAAGTAAAATAGTATCAGAAGTAACATTTGGTGAAAGCTCTTCTGGTGCTGCAATTTTACAAGGTTCTTATGTAGGCGCAGACCAACGTATGTATTATCTTTATTAAAAATTTTTTTCCTTGTTTCCTTGGATGATTTCAATGATTAAAAATTATTGATTTATTGATAATTTGTCGTAATAAATAGGAAGAGCAAAAACAGTTGGACCATATCGACGTCATTCACGTGTTGACTCAAGAGAACAAACCATATCAAATGGTGTGTGTGTATATATATATAAATTTCTTTTTATTTTGTTGGTATGTACCTTATATATTTATTTGGTATATATATATATATATATAGGACGAAGGTTAATACAGGCTCTTGCAACAGCATTAAGACTTTCTGATCATTTAATGGAAGCAGCACAACGTTATTTTAATCTTGCAATAACAAACAATTTTATACAAGGTCGTAAAACAGAACATGTAGTGGCAGCCTGTCTCTATATTGTATGTCGTTCCGAAAGGACCAGTCACATGTTGATAGATTTTTCTGATATATTACAAGTTAATGTCTTCACACTTGGATCAACATTTTTGAAATTAGTTAGGCATCTTCATATCGTATTGCCACTTATAGATCCATCACTTTATATTTCAAGATTTGCTTCAATGTTGGAATTTGGTGAAGAGACACCGCGTGTTGTTGCCGATGCTCTAAGGCTTGTACAGAGAATGGATAGAGATTGGTTACAAACTGGTAGAAGACCTGCTGGTATATGTGGTGCATGTAAATAAATAAATAATTTTTATTTTATTTTAAGAGAAAGTCCAACATAAAAAAAAAAGATAATAATATATATATATTAAAGGTTTATTAATTGCTGCACGTATGAATAATTTTCGTAGAAGTATTAGAGAAGTTATAGCAGTAGTAAAAATAGCAGACGTTACGATTAAAAGGAGGCACTGTTAATTTTCATTATATATATATATATATATGTATATATGTTTTTTTGAAGGGTTGATAATTAAGAATTAATTCGCTAAATTATTGTTTTATTTATAAATTTATTATTATAGACTAGAGGAGTTTAAAATAACGCCTTCTGGTAAACTTTCTGTACAACAATTTAGAAATCTTTGGCTTGAACAAGAATGCGATCCGCCTGCATTTAAACGTGCGCAAAATTTAGCTAAACTTGCCAAAAAAATCAAAGAATCAAATACTTCAGAGTTAGTGTCATTGGATAGTCCACCACAACTACCAGAAACGTCATCACAAAATGATAATGTTGAACAAAATGATTCTAACAGGGATGATGTGGCTAGTCAAAGAGAAAACGATAATGATAATATTAACTATGGCGATTTTTCAGAACAAGAAGATCAAGTAGAAGATTTCAATAGTAATGATAATGGTAGTAGTAAAGCTTCTGATGATGTTGATGACGTTGATGACGTTGATGACGTTGATGAGTGTAGTATAATTGAAGAAGAGATTGATCGTGAATTAGAAGAAGAAATATCATATTATTTGGATAAGAATAATAATGGCGAAATTAATTCTGATGTTGATGATGATGAAATTAATAATATATTGTTGAGTGAAGAGGAAGTTAGAAAGAAAACTGAGGTATGGATGGAGTTGAATCAAGAATTTTTACAAGAACTTGAAGAAAAACAAAAAAAACAGGAATTGAGTCGTCAGAATGGTGGTGGTGTTAGTACGCGAAGAAAACGTCAAAAGAAAGGCAAAAATTCTGAGCAGCCGGTAGCTAATACACCTGCAGAAGCTGCTAGAAGGCTTTTTGAAGAAAGAAATCTTTCAAAAAAGATAAATTTTGACGTATTAGATTCATTATTAGATAATATGACAGATAGTAGTAGTGTACCAAATACTCCTTCATCATGGCGCGATTATGATCCATCTAGTATAAGTGGATCAGGAATTTCACGATCAAGAGTTAATTAGAGTGTGTGTGTGTGTGTATATTTTTATGTCACATATATATTATTAATATTGGTGATATTAGAAGAATAAAGACTATCTTGTGTATTAGTAAGTTAAATTAATTATTTAAGTTATTTATTAAAATTTAAATAATAAAAATTTATTTCTCTATCTTTTGAACAATAACAACAACAATAATAAGATTAGAAAAAGTTTTTTTAAAGTTCAACTCTATTTTTACCAATTCCTATTAATTCCACATCGAACACAAGAGTGGCATCACCTAAAATAATACATAATAATTGTAAGTATTTTTTGATTATAAAAGGAAAGAAAAAATAAAGGTTCAAATTTTTTACCTGGAATGACTGGTGGACTTCCTCTTTTACCATAAGCAAGATCAGGTGGAATAACTAATTTACGTTTTTCACCAATACACATACTATTTATAATCAAATTAAATCAGAGAAAATTTTTTAATCAATTGGTTTTAATTTAAAAAGAATAATTAATTTTATGATTTCATTTGATTAAAAACATACCCTTTCAAACCATCATCCCAACCTTTAATAACTTGTCCTACACCTTTATATTTTATGTATATATTTTGTCAATAAAAAATATTCATAGATTATATGTAAAAAGGAGTTTCGATTAAAAAAATTTTTTTTTTTTTGACTTACCTAATGTAAATGTAAATGCATCGCCACGTGGAATACTTGAATCAAATTCAGTGCCATCGGAGAATAAAGTTCCTGTATAGTGAACTGAAATTTGATCACTAAAAATAAAGAAAAAAAAACATTATTTTCGAAAATTACACTAATTTCATACAAAAAACTTTTTGAAATGGTGTAATTACCCAGATTTTGTACGTTTTCGACAGATACCTTCAGGAACACGGTTTTTAATACCTAATCATCACATTTTTGTAGAAATTTTTTTAAATAATTAAAAAAAAATATCAATTAAATATTTAGAAATAACATATCAAAAAAGTGGTTTACCAATTTGTAAGGTTGTGGGCGGTGTTTTACCAAACACACAAATTACCAAGTTGAAAAAAATGGCTATGAATAATAAGATTATTATATTTTTGTTCATTTTTTTTTTTTTATTAACAAGATTTAATTTTTTTTTTAAAAAAAAGACGGATGAAGTTGAATAATAAAAGTATGAAACAAAAAGATTAAAGTTTTCTTTTTGAGCAATTTAATTTAAAGGCCCAATTGCATTTAATAACGACGTACTTGTTAATTGGCCAACTATCATATATTACATAATAATATACTTATTAGTTTAGTTTGATTAGTTTTATCTACTCTCCCCCCTCGTATTACATAATTTGCAAGACTAAACAACAAAAAAAACTGTAAATCTATATCTTCTTTAAGTTATCAAAGTGTCTTCCTTACATTACCTCAACAATCATCAATTAACTGGGCTTTTGAAAAAGTCTTGTTTAAACCTATCAACAGCAACATCATTATCCGCAATAAAAGTGATTTTTCAATACAAAAGTGCTTTCTCAACTACCTCAAAATTACATATGAAGTATTATATACAAATACTTGGTACTGATACATATGACTTATCTCCATCTGTCCTAGTTCATTTTGATGGACAACGAGGTAGTCAAAGATATTTATTTAATTGTGGTGAAGGTACTCAAAGATTTTGTCTACAAAACAAATTAAAACTTGCTAAAACAAAAAATATTTTCATTACAAGAGTTAATTGGGAATGCGTTGGTGGAATTCCTGGTATTTAAATAATTGATTAATGATGATCATTTTTATCATGATATATTTGATTTTATATAAAAGGATCAATTCAACTTACCATCATCATTTAACATAAAACGATGATGATTAGGTATGCTACTTACTTTAGCTGATTCTGGCACAAAAGAAATCAAAGTTTTAGGCGGTCAAAACTTAACACATTTCCTTGCTGCAACTAGAGGATTCATTATTAGGTAGAGGGATCATCACTACAATTTATAATATTTACATGCACATATATATATATTTATTTATTTATATAAATATATTTTATTTTATAGATCTAATATGGCTGTTGAAACACACGAGTTTCCTGAAGAAGGGTCAGATTTCAATGATGGTAATTTATTAGTAAAAGCTGTATTAATTACTCCAAATAATTTTGAGATGTCATCACCCGTTGGTTTGGATAGCAAAAAAAAAGTATTAGAATTAATGTTCACTCAAAGTTCAAATAATACGGAACCACCACCACAATTATTCTCATCGTCATTATCAACACCATCAAAAAAAAAACGTATTAAATTAAATGAAGACAATGCAGCATTTGATATTCCTGATGAATCAACCGATGAACCTTCTTTAGAAGATCAACAACCATTAGTTATTGAATCAGCAAAAGCGAAATCATCTACTATTATACGTGAACAAAGAAAGAAATATTTCCCAAAAAGATTACCAAAATCTAAACCATTGGCAACATCAATTGCTTATATTTGTAAAGGGCCTGATTATAAAGGAAAATTTGATCCTAAAGCGGCACAAGCTTTGGGATTGCCACCTGGCAAATTATATTGTAAGTAATCTATTTAATATTGTCACTATTATCTCAATTTATATTGAATTTTTTTACAATCATTTGAAATATTTTATCCAGCACAATTAGTTAAAGGGTTGTCAGTCACCGCACCAGATGGAACTATTGTTCATCCAGATCAAGTCGTGGGTCCATCTCGTCCTGGTTTGGTAAAATTAATTTAATTATCCAAAATAATTATTAATTAAACAGAATTTGGATTCAAAAATAAAAAAATTTTTATTTTAATAGATTTTCATTATTATTGACGTCCCATCAACAGACTATATACAATCAGTATGTTCTTCACCAGATTTCATACAATATCAAACTGCCGAAGATCTTCAACCTAAAATTATAATTCATATGTTAGGTAAAAATGTCATTCAAAATCAACAATATATTGAATGGATGAAAAAATTTGGTGAAAAAACTGAGGTGAATTTATTATTATTATTATTATTATTATTATTATTATTATTATTATTATTTAATTGTTTGTGATTCCGTTAAATATTGTTTTTAACAAATTGGTATATACACAATAGCATATTATTGCAAGTGAAGAAGTTTGCCCACAAAAAATTGTTTTTTATAATTCGGCATTGAGTCAACTTAAATTATCTAAACTTGATGAAAAACAATTTGCAATTCCATATTATTCTAATGAACCTTTTAAGAAGTTGGATGATAGTCAGTACATATTATTTAATTATATGATTTTACTTTTTTTTTTTTTTTACAATAACAATCTTATATATATATATATATATATTTGAAATTTAACAAAGTTTTAAACCTTCCAAAGAAGTCTTCAATTGCCATACCATTAAGAGTTTATCAAATGGAGCCAACTTTTAAAATCGATGATTCACAACTAACAAATGTGTTTGATCACATTGACCCAAATTCACTCGAGATGCAAACATTAAATGGGATGACCGAGTATCTTGAAATTGTTAAGCTAGTAAAACAAAAAATATTATCATCAGCATCGTCGTCATCAGATAACTCCATTCAATCTCAAGATCCACTTCCTATTATTCATGGTTCAAATGTTAGTGTCACTACTTTAGGAACAGGATCTTGTTTACCATCAAAATATAGAAATGGTAATATATATATATATATTTTAAAAAAAAACCAAATTTAATAAACGTTTCTAATTTAATGTTATAATTATTAGTAAGTTCTACTCTCATAAAGATCCCACAAGATGGATGTATTTTACTTGATGTTGGTGAGGGGACATTAGGTTCATTGTACAGAAAATACGGACCACTTAATGATAAACCTATAATTAATAGTAGTAACTCCACCATTAATGGCGGTAGTAATACTAATAATGAAGAGAGCATGAGTTTAGAAAAGTGTTTAAGAGATTTGAAATTGATTTTTATATCACATATGCATGCTGATCATCATTTGGGGATAATTAGATTGTTAGATCGATGGAATCAGGTATTAAATATTTATATATTTCTAAAAAAAAAAAAAAAAAAATGCTACAGCAATTGTTAAAAAGGATCATTAATTTTCTTAAAAAATTACATATTTTTTTGCAAGATAATAGTTACGTCAAAATGATGGTGATGATAAAAGCATTTATTTAATGGGACCAACAAGGTTATGGAAATGGCTTAATGAATATAGTGATGTACAAGATTTTGGTATTTCAAAGGTTAAATTTATTGATAATAAAGATGTATTGAGACAGCAATTTTCAAGAAAGTCGGACGAATTGCCAGCTGTTATAATGTAAGTTGCAGCAGAAATTTTATAAGTTGATTAATTAATAATTAATGGTTTATTTTTAAATATACATGGTTTTTTAATGTTTCAGGATAAGAGAGCTGATGGACAATTTAAAACTTCGAGAACTTTTACCAGTTGAAGTAATTCATTGTCCTTCATCTTATGGGTTATGTATAGAACATACTGATAATTGGAAGATTGTGTATGTATAATATTGTTTTCTTTATCATTACCAGTAAATAATTATTATTTGTATATTTATCATTAGATATTCAGGAGATACAAGACCATGCGAAGAACTTGTACGTCTTGGTAAAAATGCCACGTTGTTAATCCACGAGGCTACATTTGAAAATGATTTAGCACAAGAAGCAAAAATTAAACGTCATAGTACTACGGAAGAGGCTGTTCAAGTTGGTAATAGGTAACTAATAATGATTAAATTAGTTAATTAATTAAAAGAAATAAGCAAATAATTTTTATTTCACAAATTATAATGAATTTTAATTATTTTATTAATTATTATGTTTTTGTAGGATGAACGCTAAATCATTGTTGTTGACACATTTTAGTCAACGATATCCTAAAGTGCCAATATTTACTGATGATCATGGATATGTGGGTATAAGTTTTGATTTGATGGAAGTTAACATTGGTGAATTGTACAAACTTCCAAAATACGTGGAGGCTCTTAAAGTGTTATATCCTGATGAAAGTGAGGAAGCCAAAGAAGAAGAAACAGATGAAGAGGATATTTAATATTAACATTCCAAGAGTTATTTTTTTGTAATGCTGATTATAATAAATGCTTATATTATATACTTAAATTTCTATGATTGTTAATTGTAATTATCGCCAGAACTATTTGTCAGACACACTACTACTACATGCACAGTCGAACAAATCCCGCATAATAATGAGTTCTAAATAAAAATCTGTCCGAAATTTTTTTCCCAAAAATATTTCTGATTCAACAGATATTTTGACATGTGATCTGTGTTTAAATTTTGAATGTTAAAATGCAGATTTAAGTGAATCAAATAATCGGTCTTATACCAAATCCAAAAAATATCGAAATTCTTGACAACAATGTATTTCGTACTATCAAAAAACATCTTGACGAACAGAAGATCGAGTAAAATTACAAATTATGTCTTAATGAAATTAATTGATAGTATGCCAAGAATAATAGAAGCTTTCAATGAAAATAATGTGTGGAAACAAAGATATTGGCTTTATTAATAGATTTTTTATTGCTTGAATTTCGAGGCTAAATTTTCAAATCCCAAATAGCAATAATATTCTTTGGTGTCACGATATTATAAATCGCATGACTCAATCACTTGTTGATCAGTAAATCTTGGACCTATCAATTACCCGGCTAATATTGACCAATTAGAACGAACTTACTACGGAAGTCATGTGATGC